GCACCTGAACATCCTCTTCAGTCTATAATACCACAAGAAAGCAGTTGATTCCTGTTTGCTCCACAGGGATGCTGGGACAATGTGAAGATCTAGCATCTGCTTGCTCTGATGTTGACCCTTGTAGTGCCAATCAACAGAAATAACTGGTCATTGAAGAAGAGGAAAAGGCCCTTCTGACTACATCCTTGTCAGCATGTCATAAAGACCAGCACCTTGAAGGGTGCTGAAGTAAACTTTGTGAAATTCAACAAGGCCAAGTACAAGGTTGGATAGGGCTATGGGCAACTTTGTCTATTGGACGTTGTTCCTGCCCATGGCAAGGAGGTTGGAACTAGATGATCATTAAGGTTTGTTCCAACTCAAAGCATTCTGTGATTCTGTGGTAACATCAGTGCACAACGTCACCTCTTGTTGCAATGTGATTAGGGCAGTGACATACTGCCCTAACGGATATGGATAATTTCACCATAGTAGAAGAGCCTTGGAGACAGAGGATTCTGTCAGCTCCTAAAAATATCTCTAATTACCTGAGATTTTTTTAGCTCTTGCCAGAATTTACTTTCCTGTGAAGGAAAGAATGTCAGAATAGAAAAAAAAAAAAAAAAGCTGTAGCAGATAAAGGCTGCTATTATAACAGTAGCAACACATGTACAGTAAAGTAGTAGGTTTCCCCCGCAGTGTTTTGAAACTTACTTCTGTCCCAGCCAAAAACTGAGACACATCTTGTCTGTCCAGAAAGAACTGTTCTCAGCCTAGGACATTCTGGAAGGTAAGCATGCCAAGGGTTTAGACGTAGTAGAAGAGAAATCATACCTCTCAATTGCACTCTGATTTCAAGTAGATAATTGCAAGACATAGCTGGCTAAGAGAACTGCTGAACTTCAGAGTATGAGAATATTTTTTCTTCTTTTTTTTCTTCTTTTTTTTCCTTCTTTTTTCCTCTCTACCTCTCCCTCTCCTTCTCCCTCACCCTCTCCCTTTTTCCTTTTCCATTTTCCTTTTCTGTTTTGTGCTAACAAAAACAGGGGCACTGATTGTGGTAATAGTCTTTCAGACCATACTGGAGAAATTGAATGGTATGTGTTCAGGGTGTAGCGAGCATGCAAGTTCTTCCTTGTGAGCATAAGCAAACCATGGAAGCTTAACTTACAAGAATGCAGAAATGTTAGGGAAGAAAATTGATAAGATCTTGTATTTGATGAAAGGCTCCCAGGTGACACTCTTTTTTCTAGGCATTTATACGCTTCTCTAATCTACCATAAAGTTTACCGCCATTGACCTCCAGCTATTAAAAGTAATGTGCTATTTTATCACAAGCAATACAGATTGCCATTTTCAGAAGTCTCAGAGAAACAGTAGCTGACGACAATCTCTCTTGACCTTGGCAATTGTTGATACACTACTAGTACGCTGACAAAGTTGAAAATTCAGCTGAGAGTTTAATCAAGACTGGTGTATTCCTTTTTCATCTGCTTTCAACTTATTCCTCTGGGGTGTCTCGCCAATTTGACAAAGAAATGACAGTCAACCCCCTGGCTTTCCCTGTGAGTGTTATCTTGAGTTCCTTGGGAGAAACAAGACTTTTCTTTGAAAGCTTCTTTGGACAGAAGTCCTACTTTAAGAAAGCTTTCCAAATGTGCACACTGCTGTGTTTCTGGCCATTAAAACTTCTTGTTCCTCTGATTTTCTGGATTTGGATATTGTTTTTTCTGATATATATATATATATATCAGAAAAAATTATATACATATATATAAAAAATATAAATAAATATATATTTATATATATATAATTTTGGTTTTCCCCTGAAGATGAGAAAACCTCAGCACTCACACTAGTTTCCACTGTATTATCAATATCAGATCTGTAGTGGAGTGAGACAGAAATCAAATTCATTCTTAAGGCAACAGACCATGTTCCCTTTAGTCTGATCTTGAAATAATTATCTTGAAAAAAGATATTGTGGAACCTCTAGACAGAGCTGTTTGATCATCCTCTGATCATGCCTTAGAGTATGGCAGAATGCAGTGTGAGCATCCTTCCTGCGAAAAAGAATCTGCTGAATGTTATGATTAAACCATGTCCAGTGCCAAGTTTTACCAATATTACCCTGCAACAGGTAGCCTACTTTCTGATTTTGGAAAAACTCACTTCTTCCTGTAAGGAGTTACTACTTGCAAGTAAAGAAACATTCAGCTGATTTGATCAGTAGAGCAGTGCATAAGAAATTGCTTTTCCAGCAAAGTATGATGTTAGGAATTTGAGCTTCTCTTCTAGGTCATTGTTTTAACATTGATGGAGTAGGGTATACTGCTTTTAGGGAGAGATAATCAGGTTAGAGGTTTTCATTGGCCCCATATTGTTTTAGTAGCTAGAATGAAGTAGGAAGCTTGTGATCAAAGAGTGTTATTCATCTTACTAAGTGTCATATTTATGGCATTAATGATTAAATTGTTTATAAAGCAACCGGGAAATTACACCTGTCCTTTTGTACAAAAAGTACCCTTTAAATCAAAGCACCTGAGAACAGGAAAGTCCCACCCTTTCATCCTGTACATGGTGCACTGACTGGGTTACAGTAGCTTTGTTCTTGCTAAGTAGCTGTGTTCCTTCCATTTCACGTTTGGAGGGGACTGGAAAGCAATGTATTGCATCTAATTTTACCTGTAGCCCTCAGTCAGCATTTAGTTTGTGTCTTCTAACCATAGCCCAGCCCTTGAAGTCCTGTCTTCCCAGATTTGGCTAAAGAGAGTTGAGGACGTGTGAAAGCCAGTACTTGAAGGGAGCTTATAAATGGAAGGGAGACTGACATTTTACATGGTGAAAAGACAAGGGGGAATGGTTTTAAACTAAAAGAGGGGAGATTTAGATTAGATTTTAGGTGGAATTTTTTTTACTTACAAGGTAGTGGGGCACTGGAACATGTTACCCAGAGAAGTTGTGGATGCCTCATCCCTGGAGGGATTCAAAACCAGGTCGGCTGGGGCCCTGGGCAGCCTGATCTGGTGTCTGGCAACTGTCCCATGTCAGAGGGTTGGAATTAGATGATCTTTGAGGTTTCTTCCAACCCAAGCCATTCTATGATCCTATGATTCTATGCTTTTTTTATTTAAATCCAGGAGCGACTCCATTCAGTGCCACTTACTGGCACTGACAATGTGCTCCCTCCTTGATGGTAGAAAAGTGAGGTACAGCCCAAATTTCTACTGTCACTCCAGTGCAGAATTAAAGTACAACAAACTAAATGGGCAGTGACTGGGGAAAGTTTAAGTGAACTCTTTTTAATGCTCAGCCAGGTAATGCCAGATGTAAACTCCTGTTCAAGTATTGGAGAAGTGGTTACATCATCACTTATTTCTTATCTTAACACTGGTATTCAGTACTAAATTGAAAAGATCACACTCTGTCCTTCACAATCTTAGTCCCAATCCTAAAGTCAACAAGGGAATGATTTAATCCCAAGTGCTTCTAGACATTTGAAATAAATAACAAATGAAATTAATATAAATGCTATATGTATTTTCTTTTTCTGCTAGAATAATCTTAGAGATAACTTTCAAGCACATACTTGTTTGGAACTCTCCTTCATAGAATCATAGAATCACCAAGGTTGGAAAAGATGTCTAAGATCATCCAGTCCAACAGTCCACCTGTCACCAATATTTCCCACTAAACCAACATCTGAATGTTTCTTGAACATCTCTAGGGACTATCTTCCTTCTGGTTTTAATTGGGCAATCTATCCTGACTAATTTCTCAACTCAATTGACGATATTCAGGGTTTATTTCTTTCTTCTTCCACTTAGAAATAGGATGGTACCTCTTTAAGGAGATACTATAAATGGTCAGGATAGCAAGCTTGTAATTATATTATTCTGAATTTAAAAATCTGAAACATTTATTCAATCCTGAATGCAAATCAGACAATATTAATGTAAGTTGTATGTAATCATTTAACATTTTTTCCTCTCGACTTCTGCCTCATTCATTGTAAAAATGGATAGCCTATGAGTGGGATATATCATAACTCATTTCAGTAGTCTTAAAATGATAGTATAGGTCTCCTCTATGGTGAATGTAAGAAGGTAGGGACTACCAAATAGACATTGAACTTGTCTTTAGATAGGTCTAAGACAGGTGAGTCATCTTCGTAGAAACTCTTAGATTTCTCTGCTGACTCATAAGGGTATTGAAGCAACCTGCATACATCACGTCTCATTTCCAGACAGCTGAAATTAGATGAGGTGCATCTTACCCTCAATAGACACTTCTTTCTTTAGTGTATGGTCACATATTCTGTAATGCTATTGAAATCCTTGAGATAATGGATGTTTGAAGTGTTTATTACTTTGTGAGCTTTGGTTGACAATGAAGAGAGTGAGTCTCATCTCACTAGCTATAGACCTTTACTAGCTGAGGTTTAGCATGCAGACTGTGCATCTTAAACTCTCTTTATGTCAATGGAAAGAAACAAGCACTGTTAGTATCTGTTTTATTATGAGATGAATCTTTCCCTATGAGCACCTCTATTCAACTGTTTGCCTAACTGGATGAGAATCTGTGTTATTGCACTGTCTAGAGAGCTGAATTTTATCTAGATAAATTATATGTGAAGTGCTCTGTGATCATGGGCTTGTATCATATTTCTCTCCAAGGAAAGTAGAGATAATATCTGAATTGAACACACAGCAGTCATGGCGTGATAAAGACGAGCATTTGCTGGTTTTGGGTGCTCTCTGACACATGTAGGGACTTTTCCATGAAACTACATGGCACTTTAAATTTTGGAAAAAAAAGCTCTTATTCATTTATTTATTAAAAGTTTGTCCAAAAAAAAAATCGAAATTCCCTGAATTTCCCTTACAAGAAAAATTTTAATCTCTCACGTGTTGCGATTCTGGGCTATCATAAATAAAATGCAATTAAAGAAAAACCCCCTGCTCTCTTTTTTAAACAGCAGCCTGATCAATATCCTGTATTTACACTTATGTTATGTTCAGGGTTTGACCTGATGGATTCGTTCAGTGTGAAACAGATCTTTGGAATGAAAGAAAATGGAATTCAAAGCTCTTATGTACGACTTGGAAGTTTCCCTGTTGTTCAGAAAACTGAGTGAGTACCTTGGTCTTTCACTTTATTTTCATCCGAGTCTCTGATTTCCATTGTTTGGTTCCTCTAGTTGAATCATAAGGCAAATATCTGGTACCTATACGCTCTTTCAGTGCTGCTGGCACAGAATTTGTGACAGATGCTTGAGATCCTCTATAGCCACATGAGGCTCTACCCTTATAGAGAATGAACTAGTTTCTGGGTATTGGGAATGGTTGTTAGGAGCAACATTAAGAAATTCACAAAAGAACTTAAAGCTTAGTAAAGTGAATCTAAAGGAAATGTTTGGTAGCTTTCCCACTGAGATAGGGGATCATAAACTCATCCAGGCTGGAAAAGATCTTCAAGATTATCAACTCAAACTATCTTAAGCTGGATTTGCAGCTTGTGCTTCTCCAAAGACCTGTGTCTTCTACTTCATGGATACAGTTGGTGATGGGGATCTGGTCTGCATGTTGGTCTAAGGTTTTTTCACTGTTGGCATCAAGAACAGAGTAGGAGATGCGAGTCATGACCTGGGACTCTGCCTCCCAGGGGTTCTTGTATCTTCTACACCCTGGGCACAGCTGGAGTTTCAGCTCCTGATCTGAATCTTCACAAGGTAGAGATCTGCCACATAATATGGAGAGGGCAACGATCTCATTGGGATCGCAGAGATGAGGTAGCATACCCCACCCACCATGGCTGGACATGGGTTCTTCAGGAGGGCCAGGCTGGGACAGTGAAGAAGGGGAGTTTCACTGTGTGTGAGGGTAACAGAAATGCATGGGGCTCTGCCTTGGGATAGGGGAGGAGCCTGCTGAGAGTTTATTATCTTTGATGTAAGGCTTATTTTGAACATACTGTTTTAAGTAGGAAAAGTAAAAACAAGTTTTAAGAAAAAAATCTTAGAGGAGTTTGGTAGTATCTAGGATGTACCAAGCTGTTTGAACAAACTCTATGCATTTGGAAGAAACTCCTCCTACCAGTTGCTCATCTGTCAATTAACTATACATGTAAGGTGAAAATTAACTCCAAAGTTAAGATAATGCCAAAGTAATACAGTGTCTAGCAGTTCTGACCATAGAGAACTGCAGTTCAGGCATCCTTGAACATTATTGAACATGTCTATAGCCTATTTTTGGTTTTTATTTTTATTTTTGGTATCTGAGTCCTGTTGAGACAATGTAAAATACTCTATAAGCTCACTTGTGCCTCAGTACTTCAAATGTTAGTAAATAATTTACTTCATAATCTGAATGTCATTTATGTAGCTGTAGTATCTCTTCTAAAAGTTGTCTTCTACAAGCTACCAAAGTAACTCCCTTCACTGAAAATTCTATAACACTGGTGAGTCTCTTGGTGCAAGTGTGTATTCTGCTGAAAGCTTTAGTTCAGAATACATTAATATATTTGTTAATAGCAAGAGACCAGTTCATGGTAGATGTTTTCAGTTAGCTAATAACGTTTTCGGTCTTCTAAAAGAATAAGCAATTTTTAATCCTCTGTCACCGTCAATTCAGTCCTTAGAGCCTTTTATAATCTGAGGCTGTCAGCTTTGTCATAGGCTATCAGGATGGTTTCTCTTCAGGTTGTCATCTCAGTCCTGCTAGCAGTAGCCTTGGGAAGAGTGAGTGCCTAATTTCACCGAGTAACCACAAGACGTAGATTGAATTGAATTGTCATCATTAACATCCTTGCAATAAATTTCACTGAGCTAGTTTGAACTTCAGCTTAAAAAATCAATGGGAATTATTTTCCTTTTTATGTAGAAAAGCTATTGATTTTTTTTTTTTTCTTTTTCCGGTCTTGGCTCTTTTACTCAGTTCATTGCATCTTTAGATTGTCCTGTGACTTGCATTTGTTTCGTTTCACAACATTTTTTCATCCTGTAGCCCACCTAGATTGATTTTCCCTTCTCTCCTTTAACTGCTCTCCTTCTTTCTACATTTAAACATAGAGTCTTGAAAAAAATTTAAGTACAAATATACTGTATTGAAAGGCAAACTCTTTACTCTGAAGTCCTTAAATGATATCAAGTCTCAGGGTAAGTAAATTCAAACTCATCATCTGGGAGAAGGCTGGTAAACTCAGACACCTTGGTCTTGACAGGGAGTATAAATATTACATGTGTGTAGAAAGGGGAATAAATCAATTTTTAGGCTCATTGAAGTTTCTGGGTAGCATCCTTTCTTGCTGTGGCTTCTAACAGCAAGTGATAGCATGTTTGCTATTACAAGAGGGAGTTATCGCCAGGACCACGCAGAAAGAAGCTCATGAAGTAGGGCAGTTCAGATTCTGATTAAGAAATTCTGGTAGTGATGATCCACTGATATGAGGCTCTGGGAAACAGAAATTATACAATCCTTGGGGGTATAAGCAGAAATGATCAAACACTTAACAGTTAACTGTCTCCAGCATGGGGAACTCCATCACTACTGTGAGGATGCTGTGTTCAGTCTTTGTGTCCACAGTTCAGCAGATAAGAATGGAGTGAATGGAATGTTAAAGAGGAAACAAGTCTAATAGTGAGAAACTGAGGAAGCACAGTGTAGTAAGATAAAATTAAGATGTTAATAACTGAAGTGATCACCATCTGTAAGAACCTTTGGGGAATCAAAGTTTAGTGAAGGGTCTTTAGAGCAATGAATAATGCTAGGCTAAAAGTCAATGTCTACCTGTTAGCAGCACCAAAAATCAATGTGGAAGAAATACACACTCTTAATGAATGTATTTAAATTCTGGAACAAGTTACTATGGTTTATAGAGAGGTGTTCATCTGCATTCTTTTCAGAAATTAAGATTTAAAATACTTTGTTGTTTTTTGTTGTTGCTGATATTCTCCCAGAAAGACTGAAGAAGCAGAGACAGGCCAACCCAGTATGATGACTTTCTGCCTGCTCAGATTTCATCCGTTTATCTGTTGATGTTCCTTCTAAAATAAGTAGAATATTTTTTGTCCAGGACAATTATAAATAAAATATCCTAAATTAGTTAATCAAAATGACAAAGATTCCTGTTAAATGGTTAACTGGAACACAGAATCAAAGAATTTTTCTGTTTTCAGCCTCTCGTATTTTAACTTTCATACACCTGTGGTTTGGGAATTAAACCAAATGGATATGTAATTGCAGAAAGCATCTGCATGTTCAGTCCATTTTACTTGTTGGACATCAGGATTCTGAGATGCTACGCATAGGGTCATTGCTCACAGAAAATGAAATCTCATAAAGCTTACAGAGCTGATAACTGATAATAAGCAAAACAAAAACATCTGTCCTGTCTTGCAGATAACCTCAAGCAGTATTTAGCAACTGATAGCAACATCTCATAATTAGATACAAAATCATTAACTGAGTATTATATTTAATTCACTTTATTATCTTCTTAAAGGATCTGTATTATTTTATATAAGCCTAGTACTTCTACAAAGTGCCAGTTTAGTTGCATGTAAAATGTACTTATCTATCTTCTTGAGCCTATACCTACAAACTTTTTTCCCATTCTGTCCTCCAATTATTTCTTCTAATCCTTCCTCCTGCCCTGTATATCCCTCACTCTTCTCTTGCCTGATCTGATTCTGCTTGTCCTGGCATTTATTTATGATCTGTTTGCTCTTTCCAATTTGGAAATATTATTTTCTTCTTCAGCATGCATATGTTGTTGGATGTTGGTAGGGGCATCCTGTATCCTTACTTCAACTTTGTCTTAGTTGTCTTAGGTTTCTTCATGAGCTCTTGCCTTGGTATCATCATCAGTTCTGTATCATAGAGAAGAACATTCTACCAACAGCTGCCAAAAATTCCTGCACTTAACATGAATCCTGTTGAATGTTTCTTTGCTCTTCACTTATTTTCAAGCATAAATATATTATATTAAGAAAGGCTGAGAGAGATCAGATTCTTCTGTCTGTAGAAGAGAAGGCTCTGGAGCAGTTTCATCCATGTATATATGTACCTGATAGGATATGAAGCAAAGAAGAAAGAATTCTGAGTGGTATCCACATACAGGACAAAAAGCAATGGGAACAAATTGAAAACATGAAACTTGATCTAAACACAAGAAAAAACTTGTTTAATGAAAGTGTAGTCAAACAATGTAACACATAGGGGAGTGTCTATCCATGGAGATATTCAAAACCTTACAGGATGTAGTTCTGGACAGTTGGTTCTAGCAGACCCTGCTTGAGCAGAGGGGTTGGACTTGATTTCAATAGGTCTGTTCCATGATTCTGTGATGTATTGTTCAATACTGCATCTTCTCTACTCCTCTCTACAGCCATGTTTTTCTCTTTCACCTTCTCTTCCAAAGACAGCTGGCAGGCTTGGTCTGTGACCTATCACAAAATTTCTTGTGATCTGGAAACCTCTGCTTATTTTCTTTCTTTCTTTCTTCATCTTCCACTTCTGCCATCCTAACAACCTTAAGTTGTCTGATGTGTGTGGAAATGAAATGGCTTTCTGGAGCCTTATTTCACAGGCTCTAGGGAAATTGACTGTTAGTGATTTTTAGCTGCTGTGAAAAGGGTTGAATTTTCAGCTGTGTCTTTTTCTTATCAACTGCACGCACCCTATTAGTAACCATTACATTCAATGTCTAAAATGACAACTGATAATCTTATTTTCTCCTTTGTATTATTTTTATAGTTGTAGGATCTCACGCTGATTGTTACAGATGCAGATTTTTATGCTAAAAAAATATATGTAAGAAGGAGACCATGTTGTGTAAGTGGGTAATGGCTAAGAGAGCCTCCTCCTTGGCCATTACCATTTTTCCTTTGTAGAAGTTGTGATTCACCTGACCTTGGAGATGAGTTAATTAGCTCCTAGACTAACCTGCAGCACCTGGGGATTCTTATGTCTTAGAGTTTTATAATAAGTTATTCTGCAATCCATCTTGTTGTCAGAGTTATAGACCAAGGAACTGGCAGAGAGCTCCCTTGTAGGTACCAGACATCCAGCAAAGCTCCATAATATGGATCATCAGCTCAGTTCAGCCTGAATAAAAGAAGGAAATAAAACATTTCTGAGGACAGCAGTTCCTACGTAAATTTGAGCTTCTAGATGGAGATGACTTTTTAGTGAGGAAAGAAATGAAAAGAGATGTTGATATTTATGCAGTAATGCATCTCTGTAAAAGATGCAGGGATCAGGGACTTCAGAAACAGTTTTTTATCGTATCTTCAGAGCAATGAGAGTGTTTTCAGGTTTGCTTTTGGCAGGAATCCCTTCTCTGGCTTCTGCTTGCACTCAGTTCTTCAACACCTTTAAAAATCAGCTGAGGGTGACTGCGAAAAACTCAGTATAGTCTTCTATCACTTTAAATCTACTCAATGGACTATTTGTCAGCCACAGTGTGATGAAGTGTGGCTGGACTTATGAAGATGTTTAGGTGCCTAACTCTGCGGGCATTAAGCATCTGAAAACTTTTTCTGAATCTAGCTTTCATCGTGATATTCATGTTCCTAGCTCAGAGGTATCCAGAGAGACTGAGCACGGAGGCCAGCCACCAGATTTGCTTGCAGACTGCCAGGCTCACTATGCTATCAATACAATGGGTTAAACCCAACCATATGTTTGTATAACTACTCCCTTAGCAAAGTAGTAGTGCCACAGTTAGAGTCACTACAGATGAGTAAGTCAATAGGACGACCTGTGCCCAAAATACAAATCAGGTTCCTAAAGGGCTGGGTTGGCTCACTAAATCCAGTTATGATGGTGAAGGTAGGTGTAAGGAGTGAGTGAGGAAAGTGCATTAGACACAAATTTTGAAATAGAATTTTAGGAGTTGAGCCACAGGGAAGTCTCCCCACTAACAGCGCTCTTACTTAGAAATGTTCAAGAGGATGCATTGATAAAAAATGCTTTTTCAACTATCAGCATTGCTGCCTTGTGAAGTTTCTTGAAGGGGGGGAAGGAAAACAGCCCAATCTGTCAGTTGTAGTAAAAGCCAAGACATGCCTCCTCTTCTCTGACAAGCATAGAGACAGAAAGTGTACAAAGCCATTTGACAAGAAACTTGTACTAAGACAGGTCAGCAGTGGAAGAGATCTGGATGGGTGCCCTTTTGAGAAGGCTGATGTGACCAACTTGATTCCCTCCTGCCAAGAATTCCCTAGTCCTTCTTGGTGGCTCTCAGTGCCCCAGTCACACCAGTGTTATTCACCATAGCATCTCTGCCAACAGAGTGACGTCTGACTGGCTTCTTTTTTCAGCCCAAAGAGAGGAAATCTCAAGTTATTTTGCGTGCCTTCAGGGAGGTGGATGCTGGCATGTTGATGTATCAGGGAGGTATGGCTTGTGAATAGCTGCTACTGAGTACTGAGACAGCCTTGTCAACTCTCCAAAGGGAAGGAGCTGGTGGTAAAAATGAGCTGGTGGTAAACGAGCTGGTGGGAGCCTGGCTCAGTTTTCTCTTGTGATGGAAAGCCTCAGACAGTTTCTATGTCCTCAGTGGGAAGACCAGCTTATAGTGGTGTACAGTCTCCATGGGCTTTTTAAACAGCAAAAATTACAGTACTGGAAGAAGCCACCGTAATACTTGTTCTGAATTTTTAACTTGGCTAAAATGTAGGAAATTCAAAGCACAGATTAAAAGATGATTGAACATTGTGGCTTTCATCATTTGCTGTAATTGTAAAACACAACATTTTGGAAATTTTGAGTATGAGATTTTTGCTTTCAACTTCGGTAACAGCTTCTAGTTGAGCATGCCTTCGGATTAACTGTGAAGTATTCCTTAAGAGAATCACTTTTCAGTGTTTTCCTCTTTATTAACTGCTGCTGTTGCCTTTGTTTTCTAATGAGTGCTTATGCCTGTCTGCTCAGATGTCCAGAAGCAAAGGTATGATATTTAGGAAGGACCTATTTAGGACTAATCAGAGGAGCAGGCTGGCTTGGGCATTACAAACAATGAAGTTAACTGGAAGTATTCAACTGGGAAAAAGAGATGGCTTAGAGGCAATATAAACAAATTTTATAGAATCATGAATGCGTTTACAAAAAAAAAAAGAAAAAGAAAAAGAAAAAGAAAAATAATTTGTTCATTATGTTGCCCCTTGCAAGAACTAAGCCCTAAATGAACAAAAAGAGGCTCATTATACAGTAGTAGCAGAGTAGTGTGATTACTAGCCAATGGATGTTGTGAAGTTTACTAGGCTTCAAGGGGAGACTGGAAAAGACCATACATAGGAAGTTATAAGAATAGTAACTGTAGATGTCTCTGAAATTGACCCCTGAATCACATAGAGTTGGAGGGAGGGAGAACACACTTGTTCTGTTTGTTCTCATTTGTAGATGTCCATTTACAGCTAATGACAAAAAATGGTGATACTGGGTAAATTATGCCTTCTGTCTAGTCCTGTCCTCTCGCTTATGGTATGTTCTTATGTTGGGGCTGAGTCAAACACTTCTGCTTTTTGTAAATTCAGATTTATGCATGGATGATGGAGTCAAAATGAGTAAATTGCTGCCTAAAATGATTATAAGGCTTTATTCAAGAAGGTACTGTTCTCCCAGGCCACCAGCTAAGGAAAATCTGGGGCAGACATGAGGTGTTGTGCCTGTTTTGGGGAAATATTACAATATTTGTTGCTATAACTTGGTACATTTATAGAGGATTTCAGATGTGCCTGCCCACTGCTGGATGTCTCAGATCTCCTATGCACCTGAAGAAGAATATGATTTAGTGAATGTGTGAGCTAAAGCATCAGGTGCAACTCAGCTGCTTTGACCTGGTGGATCCCATTGTGAAGTTTTCGCTGCTCTTTATTTAAGTTGAGAGCTTCTGTGTTGGAATAGAGAAGGGCTCCTCAAGGACAGAACCACATGGAGGGAACAAGCTCATGTTCATTGCTTTTCAGGCTGCCAAATACAGCAGATTTTGTGGGAGCTACGTGATATTTTTGGGAAGCAATGCTGGGATAAGCAGAGTTTTAGAAATTGTGCTCTACATTGCTATGCCTGATACATTTCTGTCTTTTTCCCTCCCCATGCCAGGGATGTATTCCCACAAGGTCTGCCTGATGAATATGCCTTTGTAACTACCTTCAAATTCCGAAAGGCTTCCAGAAAAGAAGACTGGTATATTTGGCAGATTATTGACAAGTATGGCATACCACAGGTATGAGGCCCTTTGCTGCCAGAAAGAGCAGCCTTGTTTCCTTCTGACTGCATGAATCAGCCTTCTTGCCTTAACCTCCCACTCCTTAATTTTCTGTTTTTCTTGCTGAAAAATCTTTACTTTTAATTTGAACCCTGGAGGAAGTATTGCACAGACCTTGATTGTTATTAGCATGCAAGTATATGTGTTAGTTGGAAAGAGTAGGGGAAATACAGCTCTTGAAACTGCTTTTGGGTATGTGTACAGACTGGGAGAAGAGCAGCTCTGTGGAGAAGGATGTGGAGGTAAATGAAAAGCTGGATGTTTGCTTCTTTAGGAAAGGATAGCCACACAGATATACAGCAGAACAAGAGCGCAGTGTGCTATAACAGGTTTGAGTACGTACATTCTAGATATCATCTGAAGGCATTATGGACTCTTTACTTAGGAAATAGACGTAACACTGTGCTATGAGTCTTGGCTGCTGTAGAATTTGATCCAGTAGTATTTGGCAGGTACTCTCAGGAACTTGGAAGAAAAATACTGTAACAGTGGAATAAAGGTTCACATGATCCTATGTAGCATTCTTAACAGCATGATGTAGTGTAGAGGTTCAGTTGTGCTTTGGAAGGAGGTGGTTTGGTCGAGTTGTTTGTTTTTCAATTTCATATGTTTTGCTAGAGATGGCTGAAACTTGAACTGCTTGGATGTGGAGGGAAAAAGAACTCTAGATTCTCAGTGATGTTTTCAAAAGTTCCTGAAACCGTAGCGCTAGAATTGTCCTAGAGCCTCAAGAGCCTTATTTCATGTGTCCAGTAGTGTTTGGGCCATTATAAGTCTGCTGACCTGCTTAGCTTATGGACTGCAGGCACTTCTGAGCTAGCACTCATCTGAGGGGGCATTTCCGGCCAGCATGGTGCTTGCTGCATGCATATTTTGGGTGAAGTCTGGACGTAGCCTATGTGACTTCCATCAGATACAGTTTAGTGCCAATGTTGCCAAACTGCTTCCAGCTCTGCAACTCGTTAGTGCACCGCTGCTTCCCCAGGCTCTGTGCTCTGCTCAATTCCCTGCTACTGCTACTAAGTGCTTAACTTTGTAAAAGAGAAAATCAATTTGTAAATGAACTAAAGGTATCCTGTCTCAGAAGCCTATTTTTGCCCACTCCATAAGTTGCAACATGGTGTACGCGTAGAATAGGTTGTGGGGGGAGAAAGGCAGAGATAAAAGAAAGATGGAGAGAAGCAGTGGTGAGATATTTATTCTGCAGTGTTTTAAATGGAGTGGCATTATTTAGTACAATATGAAATGGGACTTTTGTTTTCATTCATTGAAAGTGCTTTGCCCAAGAGGGGTCACTTAGGACTTTGTTTCTTGGGTGCTATACTTCTTTGATTTACACTGAAAAGAAGGCTATTGAGGCCATCTGTCTTTTACCCCTTCTAGGTTTCCTGCATGCCTAAGCATTGTCTCTTCCACTTCTAATTAACTGAATTAGACCAGGAACCAGTCTCCAACACTGTCTTTAAATTGCACTGTCTGGCTGTATCCACACTGTGCAAAACCTGGTCCTATGTCTCCTCCGAGCCTAAGGCATAATCATCATTGTTTGTTTTGGTTTTCATTTGAAAGTGTTTGAAATAACATGTAGGCAGTACAGCTCAGCAGGCTGCTTTCTTATCAGGAAATGAGGGATTTGTCCATGCCCAATTGGATGGTTGAAAGCATGTGATGGTGTCTGAATAGCAGAGTCTATTCTCATGGGAAGTACTGGAGGATTGTACAGGATCCAGAACAGGCTCAGCTTTGTCTGTAAAATTTTAGAGAGACATTCTGGACATGTGCTACTACTCAGGCATGCCCAAACATTGCCTGGGAGGTATCACAGTGTTATGGGATGAAAACATGCCAAGGAATCTGCTCACGAGTGAAGGCTATAGATGATCATAGGGTTGTGCTCAAACCTGTCTCCTGCCCAGTCTTGTTTTTTAGAACAGGTTTTAGAACCCATCCAGTTTAATGTCATACCCAAATAATATTCTCTGCGCCTTTCTTGGGCTTCTAACCTCATCCTGTATCGTCTCTGGCTTTGGAGTGTTAGTTGGCAAGTAGAAAGTAAGAAGGAGGAGACTGTGTGTCTTATTAGCAATAATACTTACATTACTTTTGTTTGTTTTCAGGTCTCAATCCGACTGGATGGAGAGAACAAAGCTGTGGAGTACAACGCTGTGGGGCTTACCAAGGATGCTGTGAGAGTGGTCTTTCGAAGTGCACGAGTCAGTGATCTTTTTGATCGCAGCTGGCACAAAATTGCCCTTAGCATTCAGTCAACAGCTGTCTCGCTGTACATAGACTGCAAGCTTGTGCAGATGCTGCCTATTGAAGATAGGGAAAATATCGACATTCAAGGAAAGACTGTGATTGGCAAACGCTTGTATGATAGTGTCCCCATTGATGTAAGTATTGAGTGTGCTGATTAGAACTAGTGTAGCGTTCAGCACTGAGCATTCAGCATGTGTCTGTGTTTTGGGGTGCTTATATTATAATTGTCTCTTTTCTTGAAGCAGCATTGCTAAAATGTGACCTGTGTTACGTAGATAAAACAGGTAGGCATCTCGTTGTGTACAAGACTTACTGCCTGCTTATGTGAGACTGCCATTATCTCGGTAAAAGGGATTAAAAATGAGAAACCCATTTCATATTTCTGACCAGTCTCAGAAAGCAATATACTTAAGATCAGAGACAAAATCATGCACAAATACTATCAAAATGAATACTGAGCTACCCATATGAGGGTGTTTTTTTGTCCAGTCTGGCATTATGAAAATTTCCACCTGTGACAGCAAGAGAGGAGTGAAAAAAGGAAGCCTGTTAACTCAGTTGAGTCACAATATAGTCTCAGTTTCTTGGAAAATAAACCTGGTATTAATGTCTCTTTCTCCAATTGAACTTGAGACCTGCACATTGGATCTGACTGCTGGGTAGCTGTGTTAACCTGGTGTAACTTAAACATGATTGTTTGGTGGTTTGAGACTTAGGTAATCTTTCTAAGCTGCACAAGAAGGATGGAATGTGCTTATTAAATGTGCTAATAACATTTCTCATGCTGGGGTAAATAGTCAGAAGGCACAAGGCGCAACAGGAGAAGAACAAAACTTATGTCTAGATGACATTCTAGGAAGTAGGTGGGCAGAATATGTTTTCTCAGACAAGAATATGTTTTCTTCAGACAAAGAAATTAGCAGACCTTCTTATTTGTATTATAAGCTGCTTAAAGTTTTAATAGGCATATCAAGCTCATTAACACAGCACTCTTGGAGAATGCTGAGATACTGGTCCATTATTGATGGAGGGAGATTGGCTACAGAGCCACAGAATCATTATGAATTTAGCTCTATCTGGATTTTATTTGTATTCCTCTGCATTGTACATATCCAAACAAAAGGACATGCATTCTTTAATAATTCAATGTCTCTGAGACTTGCCTCACTTTGCCTTCCAGTTTGATCTTCAGCGGATGGTTATTTACTGTGATTCTCGGCATGCTGAGTTGGAGACCTGCTGTGACATTCCTTCAGGACCAGTAAGCTTCTTTTTGTCATTAATTTATTTTCATATGAACACTCTTTGTTGAAATCTATTACACAAACCAGGAGATATATGACAGTGTGGTATTATCATTTTTATAAGGATGGTGAATCAGACCTAGCTATATAACTGGTAATTTAGCAGTGCCTGAAGAGAACCACTGTAAAGAGATGAGTATGAGGAGTTTGAAGTTTCCAAGTCACTTTTGCCCTGTCAAGCTGTCATGGCAAACAAAAGTCTGAAGTGATGATGGAACAAAAGAACTTCAGCATGAAATATTCAGCATGAATCCCACTGGTTTTTTTTTTGGGAAAAGCTAACACAGTGCCAATAGCTGCTTAGTTTCCTGTGCCCAGCTCTCAGTAGACACTTCCACTCTCCCTCTTCTCCCCTCGATCTTGGCTAAAGAGTCTCATTGTTCATTTTGCCACATTTTCCTCTATTGTTTGAATGAATTGCTTCTATGAGATTTAATTCCTAACATACTTAACCATGCATTATCCAGTAATGCCTATCCAGTTTCTCTAAAGTGGGTGGAAGAGAAAGCTTTCTATCATCAAGGCTTCATCATGAGTTTGGGTGTTTGGATGTAGTGCCAGGTCACAGTCCTGACAGAAGCACCTCCCGTGGAAGTGAGGCCTACTGTTGGCAGTGAGCAAGTTGCCCACCTCAAGACTTTCAATTGCTCCTGTCCTGCTGGACAAAAGGTGAGTGCTGAGCGTGTTTTCTTTTTGGTGTGTTGTATGGGTTTGGAAATAGAGGCGTAACACCATGCAAGTGAGTTCTAAGAAGGACTGCATTTATTTGTGAGGTGTTTTTAGATCTAGTGGTGGTAAGTATTTAATAGAAAGATCTAGATGTGTTATTCACAGATGAGATCTCTGTAGAGATGATGGCAATCTTTCCAGATGTTTTCTCTTAATCTAACAAAGTGAGTTTTGACTACACTGATGGTCTTGACAATAGCTTTGAAAATAAATGGATTATTTTTATCTACTTCAAATGTGTGTATCCTTCTTCAAATGAGTGGTAAATGGAGGTAAATATAGCCATGCTGAAAAAAATCTCATACCTTTTAATGATCAAGTGGTTGCTTCTATTGGTTGTGACTGGAACCTTTGAGCAGCCAGCTTCACAGTCATTTCTCTAGAAGACATGTCATTTTCAGTCTGCTATCCCCTAAAACAAGAACATTCTTTTGTAGTCCTCAGTGACTGTGGGAATGAGCCTCTCACTGCATTATACAATGAAGTCTGACTGATCATGTATTTTCTTTAGGGGGAGAGAGGCTCAATTGGCCCTGAAGGTCCTAAAGGTCAAAAGGTCAGTAGGATGTTCTTATTCATCTGTTTAATAAAAACAACTGCAAAAAGTGTCAGAGTATGCTGAGGAGTTGAATATTTTGAGAAATAAGAATTAATTTAACATATCACTTAGTTTAGATGCATTTCAATGATGCTTGGAATGCTGGGGATTCTGCCTGACTTACATCTTTTCTCTAGGTTTTTGCATTTGAGTCTCTGTTTCTACTCTACGTTACTTTATAATAAATGTATTCAAAAAGCTTTTCCTGTTGCTTCTAAACTGGCATTGTTGCAAACCACTGTAATTGACTATGACATGCACAACTTTCATCATGAGTCACCTGGAAACCCTTCTGTGCTGAGCCTAGCTCAGCACCAATAGAGAGTTGCAGGTTAGGCAGGAGCCTCCCAATCACTCTAAAAATCACTTGAGACTGGGGCAATGAACTACCCACGGTATGTTATTATCAAGTGTGTTTGAGTCATGAGCTTTTATTAAATACAGACCACTCTCCTTACTATGCTTCTTCCTACATGATAGGGTAGGAGAATGGTTGTGATGGCTGCTTTAAATTTCGCAGTGCACAGTTCACTCCATATTATCCTGCATATTCTGCAGCCTTCTTTGATGTGTGTATGTATACCTTCAACACAGACATTCCCCTTCTTGCTTGGCTCCAGTTAGAGATGTGAAACAGCAGACTGAGAGGGGAGCAGTTGTAGTGGAAGAAAACAGAGATTCGCATTGCTTTGGAGATGAAAGTTGGTCATGGTGGTGATTCCTATTTTCACCATCTGTGTGATTAAAAAGCCTTTGGGTTACAATCTGTATTCAAAACTGTGTCCATCTGAATTACTTTTGAAAATTCAATCCCTCTGAAACTGGTGAAAAAACTAACTGCAACCCAGGAAAAGGTATTCAGCTGTCCTGAAACAATTCCCAGTTGGAGGGAAGAGGAAAAATCTGAGGGTTTTGGAAGGCCAGATATCCTCAGCACTGTTTTTTGTTGGTTTCTTTCTGTTAGTTATTTTATGGGTGAGCTTGTCTTCTCTCTGCAGAGAGAAGCTTTGAATAATGAGAATAATTGTTTTGGGGTATGTTTCTGATGACAATAAAGAACATAGTTGCATTAATGCTCTGATGTGCACACCTGAAACTGCAGAAATTATTTCCTTATGTGAATATAAATGGTAACTTTCTGTTTTAATATGTGACAGCTTAAATAATGAGGGTCTGTTTTGAAGAATGGCAGTCAGTATTGTCATGAGGAGGCTGCAGAAGGTCGATTATGATTATGATAAAACCACCCTGCAGCAATGTCCTGTTGTCTTTCTCTGCTTTGAAAAGGTCTTTGCACTGGTGAAGATGTCGGTACTGTATAAAACAGCACTGTGTGGGAGATGTTAGGTGATTACCTGACGGGCATGTCCAAGCACTGCATCAGAAGGCTTTCATTAACAGATCCGCTAAGTGGGTGTCCCACTCCCCCAAAGTGGGTGACTCAGTGGCTCTGCAGCTATGTGTCATTTCTCCTTCAGTTTAGTGGTCCATGACTTGCATACTACCAAGGCAGGACTGTGTGACAAGCTCTGAGAACTGGGGATGAGAATGTAACTGATGGTTGAATACAGCCTATTTAGCTTCTTTATCTGCTAGCAAAGCACAGATTTGGTTCATCCCCAGGACATGCCTTTAGTCTCTGGGGATGGTTGCCAGCTCTCAGCATTGATGGATCACGGCTGCCAGCTCTATGGCTAGTATGGCTCACCTTCCTTCAATGGTTGTAATTCATATTTAGACATGAAAAACTCTTCTAAAGTAGGTAAAAGACAACCTTCTAGAGGGTAGTTGAAGGGAATGGCTCAAGTAGTATGACAAAGAATAAGACAGAACTGTCTGTTCAGGATAAACTGATAAATAGATGTGGCACCTAGAGACATGGTTTAGTGGTGTTGGATTGATGGTTGGAATTGATGAACTTAGAGGTCTTTTCCAACCTTAATAATTCTACAATTCTACGATTCTATGATTCCTTACCAGCAAAAATTAAATTATTAATGTTATCAATAGCAGTTCTTGCAGAGATCAGCTAAAGACTACAGCTTGTCACAGTCTGTGCTCTATGTGCAGGAACTAATGCCTCTCTCTTCCTCACTGTGTTACTGAGGTACCCAGACTAAAATGCTGACAAGTGGTAGAAAGTGGATGCTATCTGCAGCAACCCAGTATTAACATGTTGTATACCAGATCACATAGAAATCAATGGCTTCTGTATTATGGCTTTGAAATGTCCATAATATGTTTTAGGATCATTCAGCTCGTCTCCTCATTTCTGAGATGAGTTATGTTTGAAAGCTGTGTTGCTCTTGTTTGACATAAATGAAAGAGCTGTGTCTTCAAGAAAGACTAAGTAAATTAAATAAATAAAGATCAAACCTAAGAATATAGTTGTTTAAAATGTGCTGTCAAGCAAGTACAGCATGAGAAAAGATTAAGCAGTAATTACTTAAATGTCTCTATTTAAAGTAAACTAATTAAGAAGGAAAGGAGTTATCACAAGAAGGTGGAAACAGTGATGTCAGGGCTCTGAGTCAGAAGTCACGATTTTCTATAGAGACATTATTAGTATGGAGCATCTCTAATTAGGAGTGATTTGCATGGCTGAAATCCAATCCTAAATGACTTGAACTCAAGGAGTATTTAGGGGGACTGTAGACGCTTAGGCATTATCAAACAACAATTTAAAGACCAATACTGAGAAATACCCTAGAAGGGACTCTGTGGCCATATAAGAACCCAGGAAAGAAGCTGATTCATCATTCAGTTTATGGGAGTAACCTGAGAAGTTAGTCCCACCAGGGAGTACTTTTAGGTCAGTGTTCAAAAGCAAAGCAACCTGCTTGTCCCAAAATGGGGATCTGTGGAGAGGCTGATAATGGTAAGAAAGGGAAGGCAACTGTAAAACTTTTCCTAGGCTAAGACAGATTTCTTAGTTGTTGCTTTGGTTTGGGTTTTGGTGTTGGTTTTTGTCATTGTTGTTGGTTGCTTGTTTTTTAACTAGACCAGCAATAGCTGCTGGCTTATTCAGTCCCTGTTTGAAGAAAGAGTAATGGCTACTTGTTTCTTTGTGGGTTTTTTTTGGTGGGCTTTTTTTTTTTTTCGTAGGAGGGGGAAGTAAAATCTCTTTAGCCAGCTTTTTGTATGTTTCCTTTCTTTCATTTCCATTTGAGGAAGCAGTGAGTGTGCTTGTGTGTGTTGTACCTTTCTGCCAGCAGATCTTGAAAATCTGGTGTGAGTCAAAACAACGCCTTTTTAAAAAAAATTGGAAGTATAAAAATAACTCTAAAATCTTAACAATATTCACAGGTTTATTTTTTTCCACATCTTAGGTGTGCACCTTCTTGGTCTTACGAAAACCAACTTTCTAAGTCCTTCCTGGCTTACCAGAAAATAATTACTTTTGAAGTACCTCTGTGCCTTGCCAGTGCACCTGGAATACTTCTAGCAATGTTTTCATATGAAAAAAAAAAAAAAAAAAAGAAAAAGTATGTAATTCATGCAAGTCATTATAAATGCAATGAAGTCCACCCCATCCTTCTGGACTTCTTGGCAGGAGTGAAATCTTGTCACTGGAGAGAGGTGGAAACAGAAGTGTCTACAATCTCAGCCAAATTTTCATTGCACTGCCTTCCAAAAAAAACCCCAAAGCAAACAAGCTACCCACGAAATGCAAGCACCAATGTGGTGCAACTTACAAGTGAGGCCAGCAGGGAGGTGTAAGAGGACATCTCATCTGTTATTCCTGTGCCTGTCAGGAAGGAGGTGAATTATCTCTGTGTTACCAATGACCTTTCTTCTTTTCCAAGGGAGAAAGTGGCAGCCAAGGGCTTCCTGGACCCAGAGGAGAAAAAGGAGAGTCAGTAAGTACAAGAACGATTTCAAGAAAGGGAAATAGAATGCAAGTAGTTGTTCTCTCCTCTACTGTGAACTTTTGCTGGTGATGCTGATGTACTCTGAATGTTTTTCTTGCTGGGCCTTTGTATCAGGGAGAAGCTGGTATTTCTAGCATTTGTTGGTATATCTGAGGGAAATGAATTGAATCATCCCTGACTTCAGTTGATAACTAACTTAGTATTAGCCTTTAAATCAGTATTTGACTTGGATGTACTTGGTTTTAGCACAGCTGCACATCCAGCAGGGGACAATAAGAGGCAATTGCACTCAGAAGATGGAAATCACTCCTAAAAACATACGTCCAGCTGACCAAGATCCAGCTTCCTGCAGCTTCAGTTAATACAAATGCCAGGCTGAGTTTCTACAAAAGAAAATCTTTATCCCTAAGTAAAACTCATTCTATTAATGCTTGTTGCCATTTTTGATTTTGGTAACATAGTTTTAGACTCCAACATAACTATCAGAGAAGATGTCTTTCTGGTGCTGAAGGAGAATTGGTGATGAGTTTTCTGTTTTAATTTGTTGTTGAATTATTATCAAGGAATTTTGTCAAAAATGTCTTTCCCCATGTTATCTGTCCTATGAATATGTGTGTATGTATATATTTGTTGTATGTAGATATCAAAGAAGGGATGAAATACATATTTATTGCACAGTTTGGCATTCTTGCTAGCAAATGTACTTTCTTCTCTTTTTGTATTTCTAGGGCAGAGCCTATGGCAGAGGAGAAAAAGGAGAAAAGGTAATGTAGTATATAAACCTTCGTTGGACTAGTTAAATGAGAGATGCTAGCTGTTGCTTTACCTTAGCTCAGAAAGTATATTTGAAGTGCACAAGATGCAGTAAATGTGATACATCTGGATCTTTATGGGAAAGTTTTTTACTGGGTTAAACTTCCCTCTAAAGAAAATCTTTCAATTGTTCACTGCTTTTCCCCTTTGTGTTCTTTGACTTTCCTTTGTGCACTGGAAATGTAAAACTATTAAATTGAAATCATAATCTTTGCTTTATGTAAGCAGCTGTGAGTTCATGGAAGATAACGCTGTAAAGCAACTGGCTGGAAGGATGGAAAGTAAACAGAATGTATAAGTTCAAGTTTATTGAATTTTCAATGGGATTAAATTTGGGTCGTGAGGATACTGCTGTAACTCTTTTGCTCCATTGGATCTTTTTCATTAGTAACCTGTAGGATGAAAGCCAGAGTATTTTCCTACTGCAAATATGAGCTGAGACAGGGAAATAAGACTTCGAGGTTTCAAATTACAGATACAGAGAAAAACCACTGCAAATTGCTGGGTCACCTGTCTTGAAAAATGTGTTCAGTTGCAATTAACAATGAGGAAAAATACACAACTGTACTAAACTACCTTTAAAAGGATCTGAGTTTCCAGACAATTTTAGCCCATTCCCCTTTTCCCTCAACGAAATGAGACTGCAGAGGACAAGTTTCTGCGTGCAGTTCCATATTACACCTAGATATGGATGTTTTCTTTATCACTAAAATGGAATTTTATGTTGTAGAATGGGAAAACATCGACAGGAGGGTATAGGAGACAAATGGATAAAATAAGGAAGAAGTCATGCTTCCTGCTGAAAATGGGATTGAGTCAATAGAGCTGGTTTCCACAAGTTCCATAGTTAACTAATTGCTCAGGGAATTTAAAATAATATTGGTTTGTGGTCTGAAAGGGAGAATGGTGCAGTAGCATGAACATGGCATTTATGACCATTGCATCTTCTCATTTGTTCTTTCTGTGACTGATTTATTGATTGTTAATAGTGGCAATGCGTCATGTGAAATTACAAACTAAATGAGGGTTGTTCATGGCAGGAAATATTATTGAGCTGGGCTAGAGACATGGGGGTTGTAAAGCACACATTTCAGCATCCATCTTCCTGTAGTCCTCCCACTGACAGCCAGTATTTAGCCTCTGAGACTCGGAACTCAGCCTTTGGAAACCAGCTTGTGCTTGGCAGGTAGTGAGAATCAGCAGTCTGATGGGAAACATGATGTTTGCAATGCAAGTTGTGCTGCAGTTGAGGCAAGTTCTTGTTTTCTTATGTTCTGATCTCTGCAAAAAGTGGTAGAAAACATTACTTCATCTCTATTAGTCCCATACCTGAAAAAAAAAGGTCTGCATGTCTGGAGGGCAGGAGGTAAAAATAAGAAGGTCCAATAGACGTGATGTGCTTATACAGAACTATTCTGATTGGGATAGCCAAACAAAATAGACTGCCCTGAATGACGATGTGGGCACAGAGATCCATGAGTTAATGGCCAGTTTTTGTTTATTTGGTACTCCTGCCAGCTCAAGCAGTGTGTGCTCAGCTGTGGTAGCCAATATGTATGTGCCCCATGCATGTGTGCCCAATGGTTTAGAGTCACTGCTGTTGCTGTTGGAGAGCCCAGATCTATCTACTGTGACTCACTGGCTTGAATAAAAAGAAGATCTGGGGATATGGCACAGAGGGAGGGACATAGTTAGTGGGCATGGTGGTTATAGAGTGATGGTTGGACTAGATGAGCTTAGTGGTCTTTTCCAACCTTAATGATTCTGTGATTCTATGTGAATATAATTGTTCTTGAATGTAAAAGATCGTCTTCAAGGTCAGCCTTCAGGTGTGAAGTTGAGCCTCCAGGAGAAAGCAGTTAGGATTTTATGCTGGCTGGGGGGAATCACCCATGCAAAAGGATTCCATTCAGTGGATGTAGACCATGACTCTTTCTTTGTGCCAGAAGAAGTCTCCATGAGAGGGAGGTAACAAGAATTGTGGAGAGATGGGATGCAAGTGTCTGCGATGCTAATTGACATCCATACTTGTGAAAAAAGGAGGAGGGCAGTGTAGGAAATGAGACCCTTTCCAGACAGAAGAATGTGACACCTGAAAGGAAAGGGTTCATGTGACTCTTTTTCATTTTCCTGCTGTGCTGTAATGGATGCATGAACATGAATTCTTGTTTTTCACTGGCTGTGACAGATTTGTTTCCTTGATTTTTTTTTGTGCGTATGGGCCAGTGCTGGGAAAACAGATTAGACACTGGACTTCAAACAGTTGCAGTCTAAGCAATCTTTGCTATTCACGTCCTTTGTAAGGACAAGGCTACAATCCTAAGTGATGATAGATGAAGGTTCTCACCTTTGAGAGGATTGAGATGAGGATTTTGAAATCATCCCCTTAGAGTATTGCTCTCTACTGTGCCAAAGTCAAACACCTGCCAGACTGTGCTTTTGCCAAGTATTATGTGTAGGGCAATTATGTGGAGTCTGAGGTGTTTGTTAGAGGGCAAATCCTGAGCTTTTCCAGGACAACTGCAGAGATATTGGCCTTGCTTCTCCAGACTATTTCCCTAGTTACAGCACTAAGTTCAAGCCAGAATGATGCTTGTATTAGAACATATGACAGGCCAACCACATCATTAGTGGTAAACCATAAGATAATAGAAGCTGTGGTTAAAAACCTAATTCGTATTGACATGAGGCCTAGTATGACTTTGAAAACCAAGAAATTTGCTGTGATGTCTCAAGTGACAGCCTAGCATGTTCTGCCAGGCCTAAATAACTCTGCTTGATAGAGGATGACGAAAGAATTGCACACAGATATAAAAACAGACAATAACATAATGAACCTCCTGGTGATAATGCATGCTCTTGTCGAGCTTTCCTATTCAAGTGTGATTGTGTTGCTCCTGCTCTGTGTTGGACCTTAAATTTCTGCTGTTCACCATCATCTTTCAGCCCTTGAAGTGTTTAGATTACATGTAGTCTGTTGTGTTTCTGCTCATGAATTCATGCTGTGTCTTCATTGACTTGCTTTAAACAAGCTTCTCTGACCAATAATTCTAATTCTGATAGTTCTAATTTTCACACGGAGAAATACCCAAATCTATAACGTGATCTCTATAACATGGGTCACTATGAAGGTAACATTTTGCCTTTATTTCATAGGAGTTATTCAAATAGATATTTGTTAGATCAGATAGCCTGGTCTTGCAGAGCTCTCGTCCAAAAGGAATAGGTGCAGGAGAAGAGTGAGGACAGAAAGAACAACTGTAGAGCATTTGTAAGGATAATTCAAGCAAGACGGAGTTTCAGTGACTCTTGATCAAAGTCAGGTAAATCGCATTTGACAACAGAGGTTCTGTCCAGTATGAGACTTGCATTCCTGGGGCACAGCCATCCACATCGCAAGAGATTTTGTCCTTTTAATACCTCTGTAACAAGTTTAGCTTAGAGGCTAGCAACTTACATCTTGTCTTGCACAGCACAGAATATTGTCCAGCAGTGCTGAGCCCCTTTCTTATATCCCCAAAGCCAAATGTGCTGAGGAGGGTCCATAGGTGAGAAGGTGCATGGGGAAGTGGTAAGTTTGTAGGGTAGATGGTGAAAATAAGCCACTTTGAGTGGTATGGGCACTTCACTAGGAAATATTTTTTTCATTTCTGTTGGTAATGCTAAGGGAAAACAAACTTACCATCATCTAGTTCAAAAGGAGCCAAATGAAGTTGTTTTTAATGCAGTATGCACTGGAGCTATTCTTTGCAGTCTGCTCTGGGGGATAAAATTTGTGTGTTTAAAAAAAGAATGCTTACAAATTCATTGAAGAAAGACATCTGCCAAGATCTATTCTATACAAAGTCATTGTCTCTGCTTCAGGATGTCTGCAAGTCATTTTTAATTGTGATCTGCAATAGCAGGATGGTAAGCTGGTGAAGTATCCAGTGAGGCCACTGCTGCAGATGAGATATGGGTTATCTATTCTTATGGTTTTGTGTTCAACTCTTGATGAATATCCCTAACAGCATCATTGCCCAGGAGGGGACAGATTTTTCCACAGTCCACTGAAGGCTTGTCTAACGCTGTCTTTAGCTATTGAATAAGAGTGTCTGGCTCCTGGTGTGCAGAGGAAAGGTATAGAGTAGATGGTTATTAATACATTTTCCCGAAGGAAAAGCAAAGAAGAGAAAAAAAGGGGTTTTAATGGAAGAGTTGAATCAGGTGATTGCTCTTGTGAGTTTTAATTATTTTTTTCCACAGGAAGCCACTCTAGCACTTTGTAGAGGAGAAAAATAACCAGGAGAACCCATCTTCATCTGTGGAGATTTGGATGGAGGGTTGATTATGGATTACTGTGCCCTACGGGAGTTCTATTGATAATATATTTCCAGGAGTATCTGAGTTTTCCCTTTGTGCTTTATCTATTCTCCTTCATGCTAAATAATCACACATTCAGCAATGAGAAACAACTTTAGAAATTAAGTCTATATTCTTCTAACAATGTTGTTTTCATTTTTTTTTTTTTTTTTAATGGTAATTACTTGCCCTGATAAAAATTCATGGGAAGGATTATAGGATTTCTAATGAGTATAATACCTCTGAAGTGGCTTGCTTATTAGAGATATAGTTACTGCAGGAAGCATAGAAAAGCAGGCAGATAGCTAAGGCTCTGTACTATGCTGCAGGAGACCTAGGCAGAAAACTTGACTCTTGTAGATTTCCTGACTTTGCCCAAGAAGTCTTTGTTCCTGTAATATGAAGCTGGAGAACTACTTTCTCTCCAGACTTTGAATATCTTTGCTTCTCCCTCTCTGACATGTCGTCCAAACTGGATAAATTCCCATTTTTAGAGATTCTGGAAAAACTTTAGGAAAAGCTAATGTAGGAAGGGTGTCACCTGAAATCCATGTCACTTCTTTAGCTCAGCACTGTGCCATCAGCATGGCCTAACGAATTATCATGAATG